CCCCAAAACCCCAAAACCCCAAAACCCCTAAACCTTCAAATCTGGAAATATCTGTGGCTAACACCTATTTCTTAATACCCTTCGGTGCATAACTGGCTTTCTGTGCAATTTTATGTGTAAAATTAAGCAGAAGTTATTCACAGAGAGATCTGAGCTTTTCTACTGTTTCAAGGTCAATTACGATGTTCTCAACAGAGCTGGGTTCTGGGCGGGTCTGGGAAGGAAATGCGGAGGAGGGCTCTTCTTGGACAAGTTCTTGGTTGAGGTTTAGGATACGGGATGTAGCTTCTCTACGAACATGCGGGTTCTTAGTGCTGGAAGCTGACTGGGAGTTCTTGAGGGAGAGTTTTGTACTAGAGTAGCTTGGAGCCGGAGGCTGGTCGTCTTGGGTTATTTCGGTTTGTTTGATGAGGTAGTTGTATCTTGGGATCTCGAGTTGGTCTAGGAAGGAGATTTCGATGCTTTCTTTTGGGAGGTTGCTTTGTTTTTGGATTTCATTGATTTTCTGGTCGATATCTTGTTTTATTAGTTTGTCTTTTTCTTGTTGTTTTCTTTTGAAGTCAGGGTCTATTGGCATAAAAGGAGAGATCTTCTTATTTTGGAGGATCTGAGAGTTCTTTCTTAGCATGAGTTCTGTCATCAGTCTCTTGGTTCATCATTGAGTTAGAATTTTGAGCTTCTTTAAACAGATGAGTAGGCTTTCTGTCTTCTTTCTCATTATCAAGTGGTGTTCAAAATCTATAATTGTTCTCTGAATTATTTCAGCTAAAGCCAGGACTATCACTATCTTCTTCAAATCAAGAGTCTTTTCTCTCCTCTTTCCCCCAATCTTGTTCAGAATCTGACTCTTTTTCCTTTAAAATCTTTCTTGGGTTTCATTTTGATTCTTGGTCTTTAGAAGGTTTGCTTTTCTTTATAAGACTTTCTTGTTTGAGAGTGTCCTCATCTTCTAAATCTTTATCATCTGCTGCCTTTTCTGCAGCTTTAGTGGACCGCTTAGTTTCACAAGAGTTTAGAGGCTTCTGGTCTTCTTTAGAATGGGAGTTACTCATGTCTGATACTATTTTCTGAAGCAATGAAGTGTCTAAACTGCTGGGAGGCTTACTTATTGTTTTGGCACTTTCTTGTTTAAATGGTTTATCTTGGTTTTGAGTAGCCATCATTGGCTCTGACTCTTCTTGGCCCCATTCATCATCTGGAAGTTTTAAGTAATCAGTCCTACTGATATTATCGGCATCGTTGTTCTCCTTCTTTTTCTGGGATAGGAAATTGATTACTTCATGGGGTTGAGAAGAGGTCTTATGTGCTTTTGGAGACTGAGTCGGGGGGTTATCCTCACTAGGTAAGGGAGCCATACCTCATTTCTGCTTTAACTTCAGAACTTTGTCATTCAGTTGAATGTTTTCATACTTCAGTTCTTTATAAGTCTTTTCTACAATGTTGAGAAAATCTTTGAGGCAGTTGATAAGGCCTGAGAAGTCATCCCTCTCAGTTCGATTAGAGATGTCTCTCTGGATCTCCTCTCGTAACTTATTGTATACTGCTTCGTGAAATACATTTATTGTATCTCTAATACCATGTGTATTTGTATTATTTGTCTTTTCAAGCTCGTTGATAACTTCAGTCCGAAGAAGCTTGTTAGCCAAGCTGTCCAGTACTTGGCAAAGGCTCTTCCAGTCATCGAAGATGTCTCCCATATTATTATTTTTACAATATTTCAAGGATATCTTCTCAATGTGGGGTTTTGGGGTTTTGGGGTTTTGGGGTTTTGGGG